TCTCTCTCTCTCTCTCTCTCTCTCTCTCTCTCTCGCGTTTTTATTCTCCCGCTGACTCCCCCCGCGGGACGCTTTGCTCGCACGGCCACCACTCGGCTTATGACTATTTTTAACCGTGCGAGTCGCGCGGCAATCCACAACCCTGCGTTGCCGCGCCATATTAGTACAGGCGACCGGCCCGGATCCCCACTATCCTCGGAATCGGCCGACACCTTACACCCTCTCTGTGTTACGTGTAGGTGGACCACCGATATCGCCGCGATTTGAGCCTCCTTGTCTTTCTAGCTTTTTATATATTTCCCTCTGCGTCCGGTTGATTTATTTTCGAGAGGTTCGTCGGGATTTCGTTTCGCGCCTGAGAGGCAGAAGCAGATTGGCACGTGGAGAGATTGAGGGGCGAGAGGGGTCAGGGGGTTAGTTGTATCGTGGATAAGATCGTCCATTGTCGTCTTTATAAAACTGAATTTCTTTTATCTTGTATATTTTGAATGCGTTGACGCAGGTGTTGAAATTATCCCTTTTCAACTCGTTGCACTTTGGGAATTTTTTTGCTCAATTAATCAGCAATTTTAAATATATATTTTTGCTAAAATAAAAAATCATTGAAAAATTATGACGTTCGAATTATTACACGTAAACGTCGTCTAAAGATATTGCGAACGATGTAGAGATTTGAATAAAATTAAAATTGAAATTGGTACAGTAGATATGTTGTTGCTAAGAGAGATTGTGTTGCGTAATATATGCTAAAGTATTATCATGTAAAAATTTGTCATTCAGAACTGGATTTAGATTTTTAGAATATTATATGATCATTGCGAACAGTTGATTCGGGTATCTAAGTTGATATTAACAAATTTATAGACTATGGAGATTTGGATGAAAGGAAAATTTAAACCACGAAAACTTTATCTATTACATCTCGCATTTGCATTTTCCATATTTTTATTTCGAAAACAACATTTAGCAACGAGTATTCTAAATGCGGTAGAATATTTTATTCATGAAATATTTTATCACGAGAAGATGCAGCTTTCAGCAGCTTTTAATTGGCTAGCTCAATGAACCCTCTTCGCCATGTTCCTAGAATTAATGGGGATCAATGGTAGGTTTACATGTCAGTTTTACGCCCGAAATAACCAGTGATTGATGATTTAGCTAAATGGACGAAACAGTCGTGCTAGGTCGACTCTGTTCGATGCTGTGATTTTGCAAGATGTTGTTCTTGGACATTGTTTAGAACGAAAAGTTCCAGCTGCTGTTTCTGTTGGCACTGTTGTAAGCCGTATGACGATTGATGATAGCGCCTCGTGGAATTTCGTTCGATTCCTCGTCGTTCGGGATGATTTAAGTAAAATGGTGCTATGGAAAGTCGAGGGAAAAGAGGTCGGAAGGTCATTGCTGGTAAATTTAGACGTCGAGATTGAAACACAGAAAATAGAGTCAGAGTACTTTGAGTACTTTCTTTTTCAACAAAAACGAAGAAGATATATGTATATATGAAAATGCAAATAAAGTATAGAAAAGTATTTAATGATTAAATGAAATTTCTATTAATAATATCAGGATGAACTTTGTACAGAATATGGAAAATATATTGGAGATAAATAGATTGAATAATATATTTGATCTAATTGAGTAACTTTTTAGCATAATTACTAGAAATTATACGTACAAAATAATAATGTAAATACTGTTTCATTCATACAGAGTGAAACCACACCACAGTTGCAAATTTCACGTATGAACCCACACGATAAAACAAACTTGCCTTGTAACGCGATTGAAATTTCAATTTGCTCATACATTAATTGCACTAACGTTGCAGCCGGATTTATATTATGACATTCGTCTCGAGCTTCATTGTAAATCTGTTATGTACGCGAATTCGACTACGGAGAAATAAGAAAAATTTAGAATTTCGTTGAAAATTTGTCTAAGACCGACAGAACTGTCTTAACGCACGATTGACGATATTTGCAGAGCTGACAAGGAAAAATCGAAGTTTCAACAAGAGGTATACGAACTCCTCGCTCAGCTCGACAATGTCTCCAAGGAGAAGTTGATGTCGATAAAGACCGTGGAGAAGCTTGAAGTGCACGTAGCTGAGCTTAACGTGAAAATTGAAGAACTGAACCGCACTATCATCGACATCACCAACCATAAAACCCGGATCTCACAGGAAAATATCGAGCTGACGAAGGAAGTGCAGGACTTGAAGGTACATTATATCAAATTGAATCTAATTTCATATTCTAATTATTATATATTTAATTGATACATAAGTTATAAATACTTCATTACTGATCTTTTGAAAAAATAGTCATTCAATTTGAATTTCTTTTGCAATATTGATAAGATGACAGTATTATATTACTACATTATAATAATATTATTTACGACACTATGATAGTATTATTGCAATACTGTAAGATTACCTAATTGGAAACAAATCCGAAATCGGTCATTTTGACTAACTTGATAGTTTAGTGTTAGCTGTATAGTGGCCATAAAATATTTATATAACTTATATGTATTTTAATATATTTAGATATATTTTATTGATGTGGTTTGCAATTACTGTTGTAGGTTTCTATCGAGAACGTTGTTTACCTGAAGACCCAGATCGCAGGTCAGCTCGAGGACGCTCGTAGACGCCTCGAGGATGAGGAACGTCGTCGTTCATTGGTCGAGGCTTCCTTACACCAGGTACACATCCTTTCAGTTCCTTATAAGATCACACGTAAACATAACACGCGTAATTTGCATAATGATTTAATAAATGTAATAAATTTACATAACACATTTACATAATAATTGTCAACAGGTTGAATCGGAATTGGAGTCCGTTCGCATTCAATTGGAAGAAGAATCCGAAGCTCGTTTGGACATTGAACGCCAGTTGGTCAAGGCCAACGGTGAAGTGCAAGTTTGGAGATCGAAATATGAAACTGAAGCTAATGCTCGCGCCGAAGAGGTAATTTAAAAGAAATATGCATACACGTAAAGCTCTAAAGATGAACACAATTCTATAATAGTACCATTTTATTCCAAGAATTAAAACGTTAGATATTTAAATGAATAATAAATTAACAAAAGTTATTTTTATAACGATATTTTATTTTTAAATATTATATGATTATTGTACATAGCGTAAGGTTTTTGTTAATTTTCATATTTTGCTAAATCATCTGTCGAATTTTATAGGTAGAGGAACTGCGCCGCAAGTACAGCGCTCGCATTCAGGAACAGGAAGAGCAGATTGAAACCCTGCTCGTAAAGATCAACAACCTCGAGAAGCAGAAATCTCGTCTTCAATCTGAAGTAGAAGTGTTGATTATTGATTTGGAGAAGGTAAAGACTCAGCTTCAATCAATCTGTTACTCCTGTAGAACTCGTTGCATTACTTCTTAAAATCATACTACCCTTTATAGCATATCCATCTTTATCATTCTCCATTACAACATTTTTAATAACCTTGTAAATAATCTCCAATATCCAAAAAGTAAGTGGATAATGTAACAATTTTAACAAACGAAATTTGTAAACAAAACATTATCATTTGCATATACGCTATGTCAATGAAGTTGATGTTCATTTATGAGAACATAAATTTCCATACATTCATGAAAACGAATTCTATCTTATTTTATCTAATTTTATTTAATTATCTATTTGGCAACCATGGATACAATCAATTTGGTAAGAGTTCATAACGTCTAATCTGCACAATGAATGATATTTCGACTTTAATGTTTAGAGTTATTTATTCATAAACTGATGAATTTTTAAGGCCAATGGAACAGCGCGTGAACTGCAGAAACGCGTGGAACAATTGGAGAAGATCAACATCGAACTCAAGGCTCGTTTGGACGAAAGTGTGGCAATGTATGAACAAAGCCAACGCGATCTCCGCAACAAACAACAGGAACTCCAGCGTACCAATGCTGAACTCGACAAGACTCGCGAGCTTAAAGACCAACTGGCTCGTGAAAATAAAAAACTGGGAGGTAAGCGATTTTATAAAATTTATATTGAATTATAATTGATTTAATTTCAATTGTAATTATATTAAGTAAACGAGAAGAATGTATATGATTAATTCTTCGCATATTTTCGAAAGAAATTAGTGTGTAATAACACGAATGAAGTGTAGAACTGATTTTATATCGACTACTGCCTAATTGCTCTAGATGACCTGAACGATGCCAAGAATCAACTATCTGACATGAACCGCAGACTTCACGAACTGGAACTTGAACTCCGCCGATTGGAGAACGAACGTGAAGAACTCGCTGCTGCTTACAAAGAAGCTGAAGCAGTAAGTGAAACTTATTTTAGAATTATTTTTTAATTTTTTCGCATTGAAAATCTTTATTTTCATATTAATATAATGTTACATAAGTATAGTGCATCATGAAATTCGAAATGTTGAACTAGTTGTTAACGAATCGAATTGATTACAGGGACGTAAGATTGAAGAACAACGCGCTCAAAGACTATCCGCTGAATTGACCCAACTTCGTCACGATTACGAACGCCGCCTGACCGAGAAGGATGAAGAAATTGAGATCATCCGGTAAGTGATTTAATTGTTTTTCATATTTCTCTTTATTTTATCCATTAAAGTTTACCGTCGCTTATTATAACTTGCAATAGTAACAATTTATTATTCGTTAGTGATAATACGTATAATTTTATATTTATCTACAGTAATTGAAAATTTTTCTTTTATTGATTTTTCAAATTATCAATCAAAAATTATATTTTTAATATTATTATATCCAATATATTTTACAATGTTACTGTTGCAAACGCAATTTCATACGGTAATAGTTTATAGTGAAAATAGTTTCCAGGTGACATACTTAATAATATAATTACCTCTCTTTTTATATCATTAATATATACCTTACTGGTATATATTTATACTAAGTTTTATCGACAAATCTGTTTATATTAAAACCCAGTTGACCCGAAATTTGTTCTTGTCATGTATAAACACCGGATGACATACGATACCCTTCCCTTTTTGTCTGAAGAATAATTAATTGCAACAAGACATTTATAAATCTAAACTAGCTAAAGTTACACCAAATCTAGTATCATTAGTCAGAACATGTCTATTTTTATTTAATCAGATCTCATATTCTTTCAAGACAAGTGAATCAAAATTTTACAGCGTTTTGGCAAAACACTTCCAATCTGTCTTATATTCCCAGTGACAAAATGGAAACAGAAACTTTTCAAAGGCTTTGAAGATCTCATACTATTCATCATGCACTAAAATTGCATGGTCTACATCTTACGAATAATTCTCTAACGTACACTTGAATTACGTAACTGCTACAGAAGATTTACATCTCGTGATACTACTCTTAAGGAGAAACGCGAATTCAAAGTTTCTATAAAGCAGGAGGACAAATTTTTAGCTGCTTAGCTGTGATGCAATCGACTTTATTTCCGGTAGAGCATCGTACTCTACGTCCATCTATTAATAAAAGGCACGGTTAATTTTATCATCGATCAGGTCTCATCGATTAATCACCCTGGGTGTCTTCCTATCGGTCAGACGTTCAAGGGGATATCCTATTGTGATCCAATTACTTATTTATACGGGAGTGTAAATACAAAATTCGTGGATCGCCAAGAGTGGATCGTCATCGAACGACGATCGATCGAGACGACTTTGTCTTTTTTTTTGGCTAGAGTGTCATTGGTATCGATACTCGATGCCAAGTGCCCGGTATATCGATTATGTCACTGTGAATGAAGCTTAGAAGAAACGCACGTGCTTCGAAGATGGAAATGATGCGTTTCTTTTTCTTTGTGGAAAGAAGAAAAGAAGAAAACGATGAGATATGATTATGAATTTGGGAAAGAAGCTGGAATATTTCAGTTTCTTAAAACATGAAAAATTTTTGTTTGAAACTATATGGAGAATCTTTAAACTTGGTGGAAGAAGAGGTGGTGCTATCCATTGCTAAAAAGTTATTAATATAAAAAATCACAGAGTGAAGGTATCAAGAAGAATATGATAGAGAATGAAAAAAAAATAGTATTGGAACTCTTTCTACACATTATTGGAATTTTATGACAACGAATACATTGTTGAATCTCGTTACTTCACTCGTGGAACAGCTCGAGATAATTTCACAACTATGATGAGCAATTTTTAAAAATTATTTCTTTCAAAAAATTAAAATACTTGGGAAAATGTCACTTAAAAATGATAAACTGAAGAGATAAAGAAAGGCTTGGAAATTTTGCTTTACATTTAAATGAATTCCAATTATAAAATAATAGGGCACACTAAAGAACTATCTACAATAAATTGAAAGGTACATATTCTTATTGTCAAAGAAGAGGTAACCTTATTGTCATGTTGCATAAGTTAAGGCAGAATTGAGAGAAAAAGTGAAACAACGAAGAAGATAAGAGGAAAATATTACCTTCATAGAAGCTGAGTAATATTTGACGATTTTGGACAAAATATTAAAGAGTGTCATTACATTTTGGGTCGTTAATTGAGCGTCACATCGATGATGCATAGGCAGTGCGCAATCCGACTATTAATAAACGTCGTTCAACACCGAACAGTCACGATCTAATTATTAGCCGAGACGTGCTGATTGGCCGTCCCCAATGTGGCAATCGTAAGAAAAAGCTACAAAAGATACCAGCACGCTTGACCGGCCCAATTTTTCACGACCGTTTCGTTGCAAGTGTCACCTCCGATCGTTTGACTATGAAATACACGTGAGTAAAAATCTGTGAATCTTCCACGAGAACGAAATCCCCTATCTAACAATTCACCCCACGAACACCTATGGAAATACAACATACGGTCCTTTCTATTCAAGGTAGATGTTGGATGAAACATTAACAATACCCACACAAATACTCGAAAAAAAAACACGCGCCAACGTCCTCAAAGTAAACGTTTCGAAGGAGCAATTGTCGGTGGTCGATATCTCCCAGTAAAGATCGATATTTGTATTGTCATAAAGTGTTACAACAAAGACAGAATCGAGGGGAGGAGAAATCCGATTATAGATAAGTTCCAAACGACATAGATGAGACTTTAATCGAATCGAAACATTCGACGTTTGACAAAATATTCCACTGGTAAGCAAGAGTATCAATAAGCAAGCTGCTATACACAGAAGAATATACCTAAGAGGAAGAAAAAGAGTATCCAAAGATACTATAAGGACATCAGAATCATACAGTGCTCCTTTCAAAGGAAGTTCGAAGTGACCTATCCCAAATCAGAAGAAATTCAGTCATATAAGAAAACTTGGAAGAGAAGCAAGAAACGTTGATCATCTTCGAAGAGACAAACTTCGAACAAATTTCTCCCACCATTGAAAATTCCCCACTGCACCAAGCAATTTTCCCAAACTCTAAGAAAGTTTCTAATAAAACATTTTTAAAGAGTCATCGAAGAAACCGTAGAGAAACTTTAAAGAAACTTAAAAGAGACTCTAAAGAAAGTCAGCAGAGCACGATCAAGCAAAATGGCAGGCTACATGCCGCCATTGCATGTGCCGTTGGAGCCTAAATGGAAGCACTGGCCCACCTACATCTATGACAAGAATTACTGTTATGGAATCAATTACTACCAACCGATGTTGGATTACATCGATCGTAATGGTCGATCGTCATCCTTGCCTCCTGAACCTCGCGTCCAAAGAAGACGCGAGCCACCAGAGCTACCCTGGTCCGATGGTAGAGCTTTATGGGAAGACAGGCCCGTGGAAACATACTCGAGGCGTGAGCTGATTAAACGGGCGATCGACGCGGAGGATGAGGCCAGGGATCATCTGTCCCAGTTTAAGGTACGAGACGAGATCGGAGAGCGAAAGTCAGGCCGGCTCGAGCGTGGAAAAGCGGTCGATCCGCGCGGTTAGGCGCCTCCGCGACTGCTTGACCTTTTCGTTCGCTAAATTTGGCGCCACGGAAGGGGCTGCTCCAACGCGGACGGACTTTGCACGACGCCGGATGCCTGGCGAGGCTGTTGGCGTCTTTCGCGAAGACCCCTGTCAATCGAACAGGCGTAGGAACGAATTCTCGAGAGGAAAGTCACGGTCGCTGGGAATCGGTTTACTTGGGGACTTGGGTGGGGTTTACGGTTCGAGTAAATAGAATTTGGAATTCAGAGATTGCGTTGGTGGGGATCGATTTGGTTTGAGTTATGTTTTGATTAAGTCCTGAGGCTTCTTAGGGTTTTCAACAGGTTCGGAGAGTTACAGACAGGTGGTGTGGGCAATTTGCGTTTCATTGTTACGATATTATGTCAATTATTATATTGAAGTATGGATACGTAATTAAAAAAGGAAATGTACTGAAATAATCGAGGAATATTATCTGGTGAATATGGAAACTTGGTTTTATTGAGATTTTTGGGTATCATGGAATTTACACTTTTTAACATGTACTTGGACGAGTATTTTTGATTTTACAGTCGTGTCGATTTGTATTATAATTATAGTGTATTATAGTTATAGTATTATATTATAATGTAATTGAGAGAAAGGATATTGAAATAATCGTAAAATATTTTTGATAAATTTGAATACTCGGTTCTACTGAGATTTTTAAAGATCATGGAGTTTATTAAATTTTTTAGTACATATTTCGATAAATATTTCGAATCTCAGGATCGCATAGTGAAATTGAACTATTGGCGCCACTTCTGTGAACGAATATCGATATTCTTTACGTGGCATTAATGTTAAAATTAAAATAGGACCTCAATTTTATTTACTTTTCAAGGATAACAAATTTTTAAAAAGAATTTTAATAGATTCCTTGTTGGCATTTCATATTTGCAATTAATTATTCGCCTTTTTACTTCATCACTTTTCCAAAACGATTATATTACTGATTAACCTCCTTCGAGAAAGCCGAAGCATTTCCGATCAACGTTGAAGCTGTTGAAAAATTCGAGAATCTTCCCAGTATGATCTATGCATGATCTGTATTCCCGAAATCATCCCGAAGATTTCTCGAACCGACGAATACCTCGATACGTAAATGAGAGCATGAGATAAAACTCATCTAGAATAGAAACCGATCGTGTTACTCGAATGATATATCCTATAATAATTTGCTCGAATAACCAGCGCCTGTGACGCCCTATCGCCGCCCCACTGTCACCGAATCTTAATTTAACACGGTCGCAGCGAGCCATTGGCAGAAAATCTTCTACGTAAAATGAAATCGTTGCGCGGTAGAAAGCGGGATTCCCTAAATCGCTTATTATTATTAATACCGTCCAATGGCATCGTTCTTGCGACCACGGATTCGAAATCGCCGCCGAAGGAAATAAAAATATCACGGAAGCGTCTGGCACAGCCACGTCCGTTCGATTCTATCCTATAGTGGAAGAAGTGGAAGCAACGAAAGCTAATCGAGAACGACTCGCGAGGGGTGCCAAGTCTCACGGCGGCTACATGAAAAAGTCCATCTCGCGCACCGTGTGTCCCGGGGCCGGGAAGCTAGCAGGCTGCTCGGATTGGCAGTCGTTCCCTAGTCTCTAGAGAGAGTCGATCGAGAGTGTGCATCGGTCACTTTCGAATTCTGGACCGCTGCTGCTAAGTTTAGGCTGAGCCAGACCGCCCTCGGGTACACGGACCAAGGAACGATCGTAGGGAAGGGTCGAGTTCGCGAAAACCGTCATCGTACTCGTTTCTCGTTATTCCTGCCTTTCGCTCTCGCGATCGTCATCATCGTCGTGAAGGTTAACGATAGAACGCGACAGTCCGAAGAAAGAGTACCTCTAGAAGGGACTGACTCGCTGCTTTCGCTTCTCGAAGATTGCAAATCGCTCGGACTTCAGCTTGTCGAAGACAGCGCAGGCCAGCCACGTGACCAGAGAGGTGTTTCCGCGAAGATTAGAAGAGATCAAGTTGAAACCGTTGCCTTTGCTCGTCGAGAGTGCACGTGTCAGGTCTCAGCTTAGACAGATCGAACGCGAAATGGCCGACATCGACCTGCAGTCCCTGAGAGACGCTCAGATCATGTCCGAAGTGCAGAGCGCTCTCGATCATGGCAAAAGTTTGCGTGGAAAATCGGCTAGGGCCATCGAGTTCCAATTGAGAGCAGAGGCTTTGAAGAATTTGAACAAGAGTCAGGAACTGGCGGATATCAGAAAGTATCAGAGAGAGAACGCCGCTGCGAATTGGGCCTGGGAGACCAAGGAACACGTGAAGCTGATAGAGGAAAGGACGAGAAATTTGTTGGACGAGGAGAGATTGGCGGCACCTCTGAGCAGCCTGAGCAGGGAACTGAAGGGATACGAGGAGAAGTCGAGCAACTACTTCCTGGACAAGAGGTATCGACACCCGACCAGACCGAGACGATTGTACGGGTGCCTGGGAATCAGGCCCGCTTAAAATGATGAAAATACTTGTAGATTAATAGCCGTGTGGGTAAGACTAATGTGACACGGAACAATGGAGAGAATAAACGATAAATAAGAAGCAATTGAGCTGTCCTTCGATAGTAGATGTCATTTGTAGACGTAGGCTAAACATAGACTAGAGTCATACCTAGGAGTTCTTTATATGATTTTGTCTTGTCTGATGAATTTCCTGCTTTTTTTTCTTATTTTTTCCTGTTCATCGCGTTTCCGAATTCGTCGTCGATATTTTGCTTCGAATAAAATCACCTTTTTCATCTTTTTCTCCACCCAAAATCACCGGGTCAAGTGGACATTTGATTTTTCATTTTTGCTTTTCATTCAGTTACTTTGTATTCGGATTTTATCTAGAATAGCTAAATTCATACTGCTCGAGTTTATTATCGAGTCGAGTAACCGTAGTGTTTCTCTGAACGTCAGACGAGCGATGTACAATGTAATATATACTGCGTGCATCTTCCTTGTTACATAAATACACTTTCCACTTGTGATGATACAAACGGTAATGCCTGCGAGATTACTGCATCCGTTGCCAAACTAACTATGCATCGAAGCATCCGAGCTAACCCTGCATCGAAATAGGCAAAGCACGAAGACTACCCGTTTCAAAACTGCCTGGTAACCTAACTAACCCTCGTTGCATTACTAAATATGTTATTGGTAATATGTCAAGCGCCTCTAAAACCGTTTAACCCTGAGTTACCCAGCGAAGCAACATTTCTGATAAGCACGATTCCAACGAGAGAAAGGCTTGGTGCCTTCCGATGATCCAAAACTCTTGCTGTTGTCACCTGGAAACGATAGTTTGGTTATGAATCCCTGTAAAACGATTGGATACCGGTATGTTCATATGAATCGAAATAAATTAGCAAACAGACCAGTATCGAGATCGAGCAGCTGAACGCCCGTGTGGTCGAGGCGGAGACGAAGCTGAAGACCGAGGTGCAGCGCGTGAAGAAGAAGATGCAGATCCAAATCACCGAGCTGGAGCTGTCCCTCGACGTTGCTAACAAGAACAATATCGACTTGCAGAAGACCATCAAGAAGCAGTCGCTCACTTTGACCGTAAGTCAACACTCTATGCTTCTTAATGCTTTACTATAGTTTGAAAATATATTTCGATGAGTATAGGATAGAGCGATCTTTGTTGCATCTCTGATACAGTTCTGAATGATTTGCCGAGCATTTTTAATAGTCTAGACGTGTTTGCGAATAGCCAAGAATTTTTACGCCTTTGGCCACTGTATTGGTATTTGTGCATTGTTTAGAAGATTACTCTGAATTTTGATATAAATTTTACTTTTCTACTGAGTTTCTGTGAAATGTCTTTCGAAGTTTAATCTCTTCGATGAATATATCGAGAATATATTCTATCATATTTCCTTCTGTCAAATTTAGAACCAATGTGATATTAGAATTAGTCATCGATGACTTTGGTACTATCTCGAAATATAATTTTCAATAGAAGAATATATATATATATACATGTTAATATTTCTGATAGATGACTTAGATATCATTTTTAATTATAGCGAGTTGAAAGAAAGGGTACAATTATTTTTAATTTGTTTTGTAAGACAAGTGGTTGCAAGTGATATATTTAAAATGAAATGCTTTAAAGTTCCTTTTCGATTCTGTTTTGAAGTTCTGCCAGAATGTTTAATTCGTAACAGAGGATATATCGATGAAATTATTTCTGTTTCGATATACGGACACAAGTGTCACCCACTTGCACCCACCTGTAGGTGAAGGCACCCTTGCGAAAGACGCGTGGCACACAAATATGGGTGACAGGTGGCAATGGAAGCTGAAATTGAAAGATAATGACAGTCGTCTGGCAGAGAATTGTGAGGTTTGAACGTTATGCTGTTATTTTGCAGGAACTCCAAGCCCACTACGACGAAGTTCAACGCCAATTACAGGTAACCCTAGACCAACTGGGTATCAGTCAACGACGTCTGCAATCGTTGACGGCCGAGCTCGAGGAAGTGCGCGGCAATTATGAATCTGTAAGTATTGAATTTGTTATGAATAATTTATCGACTAGGAATAGAGTAAAAATATAGAGCAGAAGTTATGGATATAATGGAATATAAAAGATAGAACTTTTAAATTCTCGAAATATCAAACACGAATATGAAGTTTTGACCGATTTTGAAACTTTCGCAAGTTTCGAGACCCGAATCAAAAATTTGGCAAGATTACAAAAGCTTCTAAATTCGAAACGTACAATTCATTGTTTCAAACTTTCTCTATCTAAATTAAATAACAGAGAAAAATGAATCCAAATCCAACAAACGTGAAATGAAACGATTAAATGGATAGATGAAACCTCGGGATTTTCCATTCGATAGTCTTGAACGGCCAATTGATTTTAGACAGGCTATAAATACTCTGAACGGTAACACTGCAGCTCAAACATGCCAGCCAGTGGATGAAATTTTCCGATTCCTTTAGTAATATATCGTTTCATTTACTCTTACGCCTCGTGTGTTAAAACTGTAAAAAAAGAAAATTTCAAAATTAATCCTTGTAATTAAATTCTACAATCCTTAATTAAATATTAACAATTTAAATTGCTAAATTGTTGAATTGATCAAGTATAAGCTTTTAAACGTGAGTTAGGCAAACGATATTTCCAAATCATTCATAAACCTAACTTCAATATTCACTATAATATTCACTTTTCTAATTTTAATAACGAATGAAATACTTAAATCAATAATAGGACAGCTTCTTATTTTGAATTTGACGTATGAGCGATACAACGTAGTTACAAAATTCGTACGACGTAATTCGTAATGTAATTAATCTAATCTCGTAATTTATTAATATTTCCAAAGGCCCTCCGTGCAAAGAGAACCGTCGAGCAACAGTACGAGGAGTCGGTTAGCCGCATCAACGAGCTGACCACCATAAACGTGAACATCGCCTCGTCGAAAGCGAAACTTGAGCAAGAACTGGCTACCCTGGCCGGAGACTACGAGGAAGTGACCAAGGAGCTGAGAGTGAGCGACGAAAGATACCAACGGGTGCAGAATGAGCTGAAGCACACCGTCGAGATCTTGCATGAAGAACAAGAGCGTATCGTGAAGATCGAGGCCATCAAGAAGTCCCTCGAAATCGAGGTGAAGAACCTATCCGTCAGGTTGGAGGAAGTCGAGGCCAATGCCATCGTCGGCGGCAAGCGTATCATCAGCAAACTCGAGGCTAGGGTGAGTTTCGATTTCTTTCTATTCCTTAAATATCAATATAAATTTTCCTCATTCAGTAATTCCAACATTAACTCTAAATATTGAAGGATACCGATTACCTGTAAATTCTCCAGACTCGTGAATGAAATCAATTCTAAAGCTCGTTTCCATCTTACCCTCTTCTCAGTAGTCTATTTTCAAATTAAATAGACGAAAAAGTAATCTGCAGCATGAATCTACAAATGGTTCCAAAGCTAAAACTGAAATCCACTGGATTCTAAATCCAGTGAATTTCTCATTTGCAAATTATTCTTTTACCGATACATTAGATATAATAGTATTTTAAAAAAATAAAATTGGATACTTATCGATATTCCACACGCAGATCCGCGATCTGGAACTCGAGCTCGACGAAGAGAAGCGCCGACACTCTGAGACCGTGAAGATCCTCCGTAAGAAGGAGCGCAACATCAAGGAGGTGATGATCCAGGTAGAGGAGGACGCGAAGAACATCGCGTTGCTGCAAGAGTCGCTCGATAAGGCGTCTCAGAAAGTGAGCATCTACAAGAGGCAGCTGCAAGAGCAGGAGGGCATGTCCCAGCAGAGCGTGACCAGGGTCCGCCGATTCCAAAGGGAACTGGAGGCTGCTGAAGACCGAGCCGACACCGCTGAGAGCAACTTGACTCTGATCCGCGCAAAACACCGCAGCTTCGTCACCACCTCCAGCGTGCCCGGATCTCAGGTGTACCTCGTCCAGGAGACGAGGCCTGACCTGTAAAAACGCCATCATCATCGACAACCCCACCCTTTGCCACTTCGAACGCCACCTCGTCGTCTTTAGAAACGTAGGTAGCCGATGAATGGCATGCTTTTTATTTAATAATTCTCAAAGTTAATAAATTAGGGGATTAGTGTTAGAAAAAATATTGTTTATAATGTGAGGCATGAGAGTACAAGAATATTTGTGAAGGGAGTTATATTGAGGTACATTAAGGCATTGTATTATGGTATGCAAATGAATTTGTATCTGGTATCATTTGCAATTTTAATCCTCAAGAATTTTAATTTCTTTTCTACATTTTGCAGTATAAAATATAGAATTTTAATTAAAGTTATATATTCTACAATTAAGAAGCCAAACTATTAAGTTAAACTTGCCTTAACTTTAGAAAGCAAATATTAAGCGTACAATAAGAAATAATATATCAAATTTATCAGCGATAATAATGAAACGATTGTGTGTAGGTGTAACGAGCAAACGACGAAGAAAAGGAAGAGCCTCGATATATCATCGTAAGTTGAAAAGGCCGAGAAGAGTTTCCAACGGGCCGCCAATCGCAAACGTCGTAAGGGAAAAGCAAAGATAAAGAAAACGAAAAAAAAAGAATAAAAATTGGAATGCGAAAGTCTGTGTCGTTACATTTAATTGTATCACGACAGCGCCCAACGACCCGTCGTAAATTCGAGATACTTGGCCAACGAAACACGCGGTACCCGTCGCAACGAACCAAACAAACGCAAAAACCCAAAAGGCAAAAGCATCGTGAAGAAGCATCATGAAGAAAGCAATCATCATAAAACGCATGGCATCATCGTTAGTCGATTAAATGGATTAAACAGCCGAAAAGAAAAAAAATGAAAATATATACACGCATACATATTATATAATATATACACGCAGAAAAATCAACAACGATTCGTTATATCTTCCTTTGTATCTGTTATGTCAGCATCACGAAGCGTAAGGAGTGGAAATGTTATAAATAAACAAATATATATATAATTAAATAAATGAGGAAAAATGAAACGAAATTAATCAATAAAACGCGAGACGTAGATTTAACTTTAATCTCTATCTCTCCTTACGCCTCTTTGATCGCGCGTGTCGCACTTGTATTTAAATGGATTAACTTTAATTCTACTTCTACTATTATGTTATAGATAGGTACTATTGCCCATACACACAACTCTCACTGTACGACATACACGATAACCTGTGTCAAACAATAATTTAATAAATAAACTGAAACACGTACGTACGAAGCCGATGGAATACATTTTCTCCCATGGTTTGCGAAAAATGGAGAGTGTACACTAATACCGACATATTCCTGTAACATGTCCTATAGAAAGGCATTAATTTCTCTGTAATTTCTTTCTTTTTTTTAATTCTAATGTTACGATAATCGCACGATTTTTTTTTACATTTTGTGTGTCTATAAACAATATTTTAACCCTCTAGAAGCACAATGTTTTTGAGAAGAAAAGTATTGTATAGAATGCTGTTTCTAATAACGTGTTTATATTTTAATAATTATCGTAATATCGTATCACTGTGACTAACGAACCACGTAAGTTTAACTACGAATGAAGTTAATAAACAATTGCTATATTTATAAAAAACGCACCTTTTATTTATTATTTTACATCCAAACATAGCTGAACGCCGATCATTGTTGTGTGAAAAATATAACACGAATCAACGGTGACTAACTGAAAAAATCAATTTATATTTGTAAATTCAATAAATCATTACTACATTCATATAGATTGTACGTTTCATTCATTACTAAAACAAACATCGTCTAAATCCTAAATGTTCGAGAATAACATACTTACTATATTATCTCTTTCGATACTACCTCAAATAAAGGGGTATGTTCCAAAGAAAGTGTCTATTATTTTTATTGACAATGCCATCTTACTTGACAAAATATCTCTGAAGCAGAATAATTAAATAAATATTAAGTTTACAATATAACCTTCAAATTCCATTCCTTTTTTATATTTTTCATATTTCTATAAAAAAGGTTATGGATATTATTAAAATAACCATACCTAAAAACGATTATCTGGAAGAATATTTCAACGTCAACCTTCCATAAATGATGACAGAAGAAAACCCTCAGTTTTTAAAAATGTCAATTTTTCTAACAAGGCACGAGTATTATCTAAAATGAAGAATTACATAAAAAGTAAGAACGTTAGGAGGTTTATTGTTGTCTTACAAGTTAGTTGAGAGTATTCTGACTTCATCAATGTCTATAATTATAATTACTTATGCCTGTGAATAACTACAATGGGTCATCAAAGTTTCAAAATAAGCCTCCGAGCGTACTTTCTACGCATATTCTTGCAGTTTTACGAAAAAGTATTCAACTGACACGAATTTTCTACATATTAGGGAATTCTATAGATTTTTCTGAAGAAGATATCATGGAACAAAAATATTAGAATAGTTTTCACTTCGATTACATCGTGAATATATTCGTTGGTAATTCGTATACGGCATTTTACCACCACGTAGCACTGCACGCTTCGCTAACCTAGACAGTGCCGTAGCTACGCGCAATTCAAATACCAAGTGCAATGGAGCTAACATAACACTCTACAAAAAAGAAAAATTACAATTTTACAGTCAAATGACGTAAGTATAAGTATATCTTATTCTTATATTAGCAACAGTCATATTTATTCATTGTTTTGATCGTCATTTGTGATTTTTATATTGTCCAAATCCTAAACAACAAAAAATAGATTGATAGATTGTTAAAACTAATAGTAAATATTGTTTACATATAATTACTGTACGTTTTTTCATGTTATTATAAAAATAGCAAAAGATTAAAAAAAAGATATCGACTACAATGTGTAGCAAAATATGACATTTAATACGAATCCGATTAATAAGTAAACTCTTTATACCCCTAATGTAATCCGTTGATACGGCACTGATTCCCTCAATAAGATGGAAAGTCAAGTGACATTCGACAAGTGCCATTTATTATTTTGCATTCAAAAATCGGATTTGGTTATAGGAACACATACTGTATGAGGAGCTCTTTGGAATAACCACCTGGCGCCATTTGTATTCAACATACTGCACTTGTGGTTCAGGTGTAAAATCATAGATGGCACTGATGTGATATACTGATATTTCATTAAATCAATTCGACAGTGGAAAATTCACTAATTTGTGAATATCTGTGATTAATTTATGAACTGTTATAATTACGTCGTAAATGCAGATCCTTCAAGAACTTTGCAATATAATTTTAGACATAAATTTGCCCCTAATTAATTAATTATTAATGATTACTATACGTAGTGTATGAATTTTTGTCGGGCATGGTAGTAGTTTTTCATTAAATACTGTCCTCTACGCAAATAATTTATGAATCTTTATGCAATCATTACAAAAACAATATTCTTACGAATCTTCTCATATTACTTTTGATTACATTTTGCTTCTAGTTTCGTTTAGTATTAAATATCTTCATGGAAGATCGTGATGGTCGTCGTTACGAAATTATAGACGCCATCAAACAATAATTAATAACTAACTAATTCGTAAAAAATTATGTACGAATATGACATTAGAATGTTGCTCAAAGTTTCAGCTTTGCAATGCAATTATAAAAGTTACGTTAGCCCCGGTCATCGACTATATCTTTGGACTAATTGATGGTCATTGTCCACTCCACCTATACACCACCCCCACCTTTTCCTTCAGATCATTCAGAATCTACTTATTTTTATTTCCGAATTTTTTCATCGTTGGTTTGTTATCTTGAACCGGTCGGTCGGAAGGGTGCTGGACATGAAGTTGTCTTCTACACGGGAGTACTTCGCGTATGCTAGTCGGCCTTTTGAATAATCGCGAACTCGTTCGGACGCGTCGCGATTTTCCACTTGCTCCCGTCTTTATATTTCATTCCCAATTTTTACGGGAACGTGAAAGTATCGTAGTGTAGAAATAAAATATTTCAGTGTCGCGACAGTAATTTTAGTATACCGATTCGAAATCCCCTTTGTAAGACACGAAATATAATTAAGTGTCAATAGATTCACTTTAACTTCTTTCGCTTCAAGTTTGACTAGGCTATCTTTGATACGGATAGCGTCAGCAGGCTGTGCCACTAGGGTCTCGATACGTAGCCACCTCCAAGTGGAAAGACCTGGTAATTGGTATCGTTTCCCAAGGAATAATCTTTGGGATACGATACCAAGCTACGAGCTACGCACAAAATTTAAAATATGTCTTATCTCTTGTAAATCATCAATGTTTTCTTTAAAACTTGGAAATAAAGAGTGGGCTATATCACTAATAATAAACTAATTAGGGACAAATTTATATCCAAAGTAGGGAAAAATTTATATCCAAATTATATTGAAAAGACTTGAAGGATCTGCCTTTACGACCCAATTATACAAGAGGTAGTACGTAACTCTATAATACACAATGTAGGAAACACCGAAATTGAAGTGATGATAAGTAACTCGGCAATCGTAAGTGTAGAAAACATCAGCAACTCAAGAGATAACATAAAATCGATTACAAATAATGTAGGAATCACCGAAACTCAAGTGATGGTAAGTAACTCGACAATAGGTAGAGCAGAAAAAAACTGGCACTCAAGAGGTAACATAAACTCGATTACATATAATATAGGAAACACCGAAAATCAAGAGATGGTAAGTAACTCGACAATGGGTACAGTAGAAAACAACAGGAAATCAAGAGATAACAAAACCGATTACAAGTAATGTAGGAATCACCGAAACTCAAGTGATGGTAAGTAACTCGACAATAGGTAGAGCAGAAAAAAACTGGCACTCAAGAGGTAACATAAACTCGATTACATATAATATAGGAAACACCGAAAATCAAGAGATGGTAAGTAACTCGACAATGGGTACAGTAGAAAACAACAGGAAATCAAGAGATAACAAAACCGATTACAAGTAATGTAGGAATCACCGAAACTCAAGTGATGGTAAGTAACTCGACAATAGGTAGAG